CTGTCATATAAAATGTTCTCTCTGCCTCCAACTTTCCATTCTGTAAGACACCCCTGCTCTCCTGTAATGACACACCATACATTTTATGACAGCTACTCCCTTGACAGCTGTCACAGATGCTCAGTCTCTAATTAATAAAGTAAACTATTCCAAAAGAATTGTTACTTTTAGACAGATTAAAATCAGCCCTTAACCTCTCAGCCTTGTTCTTTAGGTCTTTCAAGATGCTAGGGGAATTCTAGCCAATGCAGGCTGGGAGCATCACTCACACATCGCTCACCCCCAGTCCATTTTTTGTTTATTTGTTGAGGGCAGAGACAATTCTTCCTTCATTCACAATTGTAGATGCAACCGATCTGGGAATTCCTACTTCTGTTCTGACAATAACTGTTCAAGAGAGGACCTAGCCAGAAAAGGCAAGAAAAGCTTCAGGTGAAAATGAGGAGATTGTCCAGAGCTATGAACAACATATCAGGCAATAGAAAAAGCACTGTCTGCTCTAGATTGGGACCAACATGAATTGGCAGAATTGGAAGAAAGTAATCCAAGCAGAATCTGAGTGCCTTGCAATCAGGAGTGAGTGACTTTGGCAGAGCCATGCTGACTAAAAGCAACAGAAAGCCTGTACCTGCCCTCTGTTCTTTTTTCCCCACCACATTTTCACAAGAAATGAGTACTTCAGGCAACCCGAATGCTCTTAAAGGGGGTTCTTTAATGTCAGAGCTCCTATCTGCATGTGATAGAGTTCAATTAGAGAGGCTACATGCCTTGTTGATCCTGTAAGCAATTCCTGCCTTACTTCCTTTGACTGACATCAATACCCAGGTTCAGTCCAAAAAAGAGCAGCACAATACAGACAGAGCTGCACAGGCATCTTGATGAATCTTCTCCTCTCCCATTAAGAAGCACTCAGCTGCATTTGAGCTCAGGTAGTTTTTGAGAGGTAACTTTTGGGGGGAAGCTGGGATTTGTGTTAACAGCAACAACCGCCTGGGAAGGGGGCAAAGGTTCACACACAGACCTCAGGTTGCCACAGGAAGACAAATGTGACAGTGGCACAGCTGAGCCTCCCTTTCTGTCTGCCACTGGGTAAAACACAGCTACAACTCAGACTTGATTTAAAGCCTTCAACAAAACCACTATCTTCATGTCTAACAGACAGTATGACCTGCCGGTTGCCTGGTCCCTTGAACTAGATGCAAACCACTGCAGAATGGTATCTGTAATCTTTAAAGGTGCCATTCTCCATCACAGCTGAAGGTGGCTAAAACCAGCTCTGTGATGCAAATTAGCCATCAGGCTATCAGCCCCTAGCGCCTGCTTTCTAGTAGAAGCAGAAAGCACCACAGATTCATCTCTTGCAGCAGTGGCTCTGTGGTTTCAGGCCTCACAGAATTAAAAAATCTCCCTATCACAAACCCTAGGAAAAAAAGAGAGGGAGGGAAAATGCAAACACTAGCAACACCTGAACTACCGTATGAAACTGTAGCTAAGATTTTCTTAGGAGGTATCTAGGACTTAATCCTCCTTGCAATACTCCTTTTTGAGTAAAAAAGGACAACTCAATGAGCCAGTGTGTGTAAAAATGTGCAGCCTCTCCAGACTACACCTCAGGAAAATGACTGTAGCAAGGATACTCCCAATATGTTGAACAATGGTTTAGATTTTAGCTTTTACTAGAATAGAATAGAATAGAACAGAATAGCATCATTCAGGTTGGAAAAGACCCTTGAGATCATCGAGTCCAATCATTAGCCCTACTCTACAAAGTTCACCCGTAAACCATATCCCCCAACACCACATCTAAACCACCCTTAAACACATCCAGTGATGGTGACTCAACCACCTCCCTGGGAAGAATATTCCAGTGTCTGACTACTATTTCTGTGAAAAATTTTTTCCTAATGTCCAGTCTAAACCTTCTCTGTTGCAGTTTGAAGCCATTCCCCACTAATTACCTGTGAGAAGAGACCAGCACTAACCTCTCTACAATGTCCTTTCAGGTAGCTGCAGAGAGTGACAAGGTCTCCCCTTAGCCTCCTCTTCTTCAAACTTAACAGGCCCAGCTCTTTTAATTATTCTTCATAAGATTTATTCTCCAGGCTCTTCACTAGCTTCATTGCCCTCCACTGCACTCACTCCAGCACCTCAGTATCGCTCTTGTATTGAGGTGCCCAAAACTGGACACAATACTCAAGGTGTGGCCTCACCAGTGCCGAGTACAGGGGGACAATCACCTCCCTACTCCTGCTGATCATTAGACCCCCCAGGTCCCTTTCTGCCAGACAGCTTTCCATCCACACTTCCCCAAGCCTGTAGCATTGTGGCCCAAGTGCAGGACCTGGCATTGGCCTTGCTGAAGCTCATACCGTTAACATTGGGCCATTGATCCAATCTATCCAAGTCTCTCTGTAGAGCCTCCCTACCCTCATGCAAATCAACACTCCCACCTAGCGGGGTGTCATCTGCGAACTTACTGATGATACACTCTATGTCCTTATCAAGAGCATCAATAAAGATGTTAAACAGAAGTGGGTTGGGAACAATGAGCCCTGAGGAACACCACTTGTGACCGGACGCTATTTGGATTTAACTCCATTGC